TCCTCAGTCGCGAATGTGTCTACAAGGATTTCAGAGCCGGCAGAGACAAGTACTGCTCATCACTACTGATCAACGCCATTTGCGCATATGCCTGCCATTTGACCGACGATCCAGCAGGACGAACAGACCCATCGAATTTCCGAACAGCCGGCGACCATTTCTTTGAGGAAGCGAGAAATCTACTTTTCGAGGATGAGACACCGAGTCTGACCACCGTACAAGCGCTCTGCATAATGTCTATGCGTGAGCCAAGTACTGGACGCGACACATCAGGGTACAGCTACATGGGCAGATGTATGCGAATGTGCATCGAGCTTGGATTACACTTGAACAACAGCGCTAGCCCCGTACTAGGTCTGACACCAAGTGAAATCGAGGTCAGGAAGGTCACTTTCTGGGGCTGTTTTACTCTCGACGCGTGAGTGTGCATTGCTTGTGCTCAGGGAAGACGAGCTAATTGGTGCAGTGTGTGGTCCATTTGTACCGGGCGCATCGCGGGCATTCCTCGAGCCGCAATTACTCTCGACAAACCGATCCTCGAAGAGGCCGCGAGCCTACCAGATACACACTCTGGCTTGTCCCCACCTCAGACTGGTGTAGTGACAACACGCTTGTTTCTACACGAGTTCACGACTCTTTCTGAACTTGTCAATGACAACAACTACATGTTCTTTGCACCAAAGGAACGGCTGACTAGCACTCGATTGCTTGATTGCTACAACAAATATCAGACGTGGTATCAAAGATTACCGACAGCACTGCAAATCGAGGACAAAAAGCAAGCCGAGCCTCACACATTAGTGCTGCAGTATGTTCCACCAACGTCACGGTCGCAACTTCGATGCTAATAGTTGCCAGCATGTTATACCACACAATCATCGTACACCTCTTCCGGCCTATGCTAAAGGTCAATCTTGTCGATTCGACTGTACATCCACGCGACATCTGCATCGAAGCCGCCAATAAAGTCTCTGAGCTCGTCAGGACCTATCGACGATTCTACGATTTCCGCGTAGCCCATCTCATTATTCCACACATACTTCTGACTGTCTCTATAGTGCATCTGCTCTATTCCAGAGACAACAGAGCTTCTTACCAAAACCTCGTCGAAGGCCTTCAAGGCCTTGAGGATGTACATGAGTGCCATTATTTCGGCGCACGAAGCTTCCGCATCCTACACACATTATCCACAACGTGGAATCTGCCGTGGCCTGAAGAAATGCTCAACTCGAAACTGCTTCCCAGAAATGTACCGAGCAGAAGTCAAGGCAATGTCAGTCCCCAGACTGACCCGTTGCTCGTTGCACCCAACACTTTCGCAACTACTGGTTCACATCTGAGCTCCAACACGCACTATCCGCCACTCAGCAATCAAGGTCGACGCGAGAGCCTGAGCATGTTCAGTCCGCAGGTGAATCTGCAGCTCGTGACTAACCCAGCTATTGCACGCTCTGGCAGTGTCCCAGCTCAACACCAACAGTCACCCGCGTTAAACCACACTTCCACGCACCCGTTCAACACCCTCCCCTACCAATTCTCGCAGCCCATGTCGTCAGTACCGTCAAATGTCGCCACGACCGCAACGTCCACTCCTCCCGATCCTACCGAGACAATATTCTGGAATCCTATTCCTGGCGTGCCAGGGCCAATCCTACCACGCAACACACACCCGCAGATAAGTCCCATGGGTCTTGACAGTGTGTTGCAGCAACAAGATATGGGTGACAGACTCGGGAGGGACGGCTTCAAGATGAGCGAGGACTGGCATTCAAGTCACGTCCATGGCTTCACACCAGGTCCTGGGCCTAGCTACAGCCAGCAGAGCCAACAGCCTCAGCCAACAGGATACATGCATAGAGGAGGACAAGGCTACCAACAGCAGGGAGACGGAATGCAGTATCGAGGACAAACGCATGGTTCGCAGCCGGGCGGGCAGGAAGATTACTCAACATCGTGGTACGGAAATCAGATGAGTTGATGAAGGGAGGAGATTTTTTGGTCAGCATGGGACGATGCACGTCGGTGCTTTTCTTCCATGAGCTTCTTGGGCATGGCGGATGACCACAATAGATCTACTAGTTGTAACTGTTGCAGCATTTGCATTTTGCAGGGATTTGAGCGTTCGAGCATATATCCGGCTAGAATAGGGGCCGGGCATTGTTAGACATTCTGCATACAGGAAACGATGTAATTAAGGAGGAATTTAGAGATACAGCGATACTACGGTACAAGATGTAGTCGAATTCTCTATCACATTTCAGTGCCCCTGCGTCGCGTCTTTAGCATCGTGATGCAAATGTCTTACGCCGTTGGTCAAAAATATCTTCAGCAGCATCAGGACTCGAGTGCGCCACATATATTAAAAGAAAGTGTTTTCGGGATGTATCTCGACGGAGCAAAGTGCTGGCGTGGAACTGTAGCAGCCATCTCCGATGGTAATCCTAAGCCGCTGATTGGCCACGGAGAAGCCTCGGCCTACAGAATACTCGGAGTAGAAGATCGGATTACAACATTATGTATTCTAGAGCACTTCAAAAGGTTTATTTCCCCAGCCGTTGATTCTGTCTTCCTCCTTACACTCTTGCCACTTGTTCTTCAGCTTTTGCAATCTGCTCACGTGTGCGCGTAAGCCTTCATTTCCAAAAGTTCTCGGTCGCCGATCACTGCTTTGAAAACCGCCACCGACCTGCACGACATTTGTCGACACTATAACCTCGTAAAGACACCACCCTCCTTCCGCCGATACACAGACACTTCTGCCCCTCCCAGATTGTGTTACACTTTGAGCTCAATTGCATCACTCAATTCTCCTCGCCATGTCGTTCTCGTCGCTCGTGTCAGACATCGCTTACCGAAGCTCAGAACGGCCAGAACGACCAGACTATCGCACGCAGGTCTCTGAGGCGCGGTCGACGCGGTCGTATGCCAGCACTGCTGCAACCAGTGTGAGCATAGCGGGGGACATCAAGAGCCAATTGCACGGAGGATACAGCCACCCTCTCTCGCGGGCATGGCAGGCAGAGCGACAGCTGACCAAGGTGCGCACGACTTCGAGCCCCAATGCTGCGTTGTATGGCTACTGACACCCACGCAGTCTATGCTGATATACCCGCTCTTCATCTCTGATCAGCCAGACGAGGAGACCCTCATTCCCTCCCTACCGAACCAACACCGCCGAGGCTTAAACAAAGTCGTCCCATACCTTACCCCACTCATCGCGAAGGGCCTCAAGTCCGTCATACTCTTCGGCGTACCAATTGCGCCCGGTGCCAAAGATGCGCTCGGCACGAACGCAGACGACCCCAAGGGTCCGGTGATCAAAGCGATCCGCCTGCTCCGAAGGACGTTCCCCGACCTCTTCATTGTCGCCGACGTCTGTCTTTGCGAATACACCTCCCACGGCCACTGCGGCATCCTGCGCGACGACGGCAGCCTGAACAATGCGCTATCAGTTGAGCGCATAAGCGACGTCGCTATGTCCTACGCGCAGGCCGGCGCCCACTGCGTCGCTCCCTCCGACATGAATGACGGCCGCATCCGCGCCATCAAGCTCAAGCTCATCGAGGCCGGCATCGCGCACCAGATCGTCCTCATGTCATACTCGGCCAAGTTCTCAGGCTGTCTCTACGGCCCATTCCGTGACGCTGCAGGCTCAGTCCCATCGTTTGGCGACAGGCGGTGCTACCAGCTTCCACCTGGCGGACGGGGTCTCGCGCGCCGAGCCATCACACGAGATATTGGCGAGGGCGCGGACATAATTATGGTCAAGCCGGCAAGCCAGTATCTTGATATCATTAGCGACGCGAAGGAGATTGGAAGGGACATGCCTGTGGCTGCGTACCAGGTTTCTGGCGAATATGCCATGATTCACGCAGCGGCGGCAGCGGGTGTGTTTGACCTGAGGCAGATGGCTGAGGAGGCTACACAGGGCATTCTGCGCGCTGGTGCGTCGATAGTGGTTAGCTATTTCACGCCCGAGTTTTTGGATTGGTTGGATAACTAGACGGCATCTTTCTTGCTATGATGGGACGAAATGGCATAAAAGGAGTTGGGCGTTTGATATCAAGAGGCAATGGCCTGAAATGTTGAAATATGTTCATCAGCATCACGTAAAAGTTCAAGATGTTTCCACTCTGTATATCAGTTTTTGCAGACGACCAACAAGCAGCATAGTGTCGCTCTCACCCATGGTGCGCTTTCGATGATACTTCCGATATCCGACTCGGTACAAGCCATTTCTGTGACAAATCCCCTCGGTGCAACCTCTTCGCCTTCAGCGAAGCCTTAGGGATAGGATGGCGTCATCTGTATTCACGAATATTCACTGGCTAGCATTCATGGCCATCGAAACATGTCGCGCGAGGCAGCTTGTGCCATGTTTCGTTAGGTAAACTTCTCTCCTTGTGCGTCCTACGACATAATAAGTAATGACAGCTGAACATGTTAAGGATAGCTCTGTAGTCACGCAAGAGCTTATTATGAAATTTCTACACGCGTATAATGCGTTGGAGTACTCCTGGCTAGACTTTCAAAACACCGGATTCTAGATGATGTTCGAGCATTTCCACTACATGAGCAATGCATTTGGCATCATCAAGGCTACCGAGGGAGAAGCAATTGCTCTTTGTCCCCATTGTCCGTTGTGCATCTATGTCAACTCGACAAAGTGGCTCAAGCATGTTGCCCGTTCGAGTTGTAGATTGAAGAAGATAACGATTCTTCCTTGGAGAGCGTGGACCGCGAAGAAATTGAGGAATGTGAGGAATATGAAGGCAGGACTCCGTTCGAGGAAGTTGCAGAGGATGAAGACAGCGACTTTTGTGAATGTGCCTCTGGTGTGCAGAGTGAGTAGCAAGAGAGTGAGTATTGAGGTCTGAAGATCAGGATACAGGGCCTGGCATATGCCGATTCTGACTTGTCCAAAAAAAAAGAATTTACAACTTGCTCAGCAGAAAGACAGGATCATCTGTTGAGCACAAAAGAGCAAAAAGAAAGATATTTGGTCACTACGAGGGTCGAACTCGCGACCTTGGCGTATCAAGGTTGTATACTATTAGCACCACGCTCTAACCAACTGAGCTAAGCGACCTGTTTTCTTGTTCGATGGAAAGTTTGAGGATAAGACAAAATATATTGTACATTGTTTTAAGTCAGTGTACACACCGCGGAAGCGCATTCGAGGAAGGGCATGCCCCACCTACTTCCGCCCCACTCACTAACTCAAACTCATCAGACTGAGTCAACGCGCGATATATCGCGTCTTCTGACATTATTCGTCACGCCTATCACGGCCCATAAGCGATAACCGCGGTCTCGAATGTCCCAGCGTAGCATCAGCTGCACTTAACAAGGCGGTGAGGGTCAGCACTGCAGTATCGAGACCGGCCCGGAATCACATACGCGAGCTTTGCATATGCGGCAATCGACTAATCGCACGCTAACGGATAAGCATGCTCGACCTTCTCAATCTGCAATATTAGAATCCAACTTCGAGTTGGCGTGGTTGTTGGGCCTGAAACCGGCGAATTGCAGCTTCAGATGCAACGAACATCGCTTCCGACCGCAGTCGTTTGCTTTATCTCTACAAATTGCCCGGCCTTGAAGATCGACTTCCCTTCTTTGCCGTTTTGCCTTGAGCGAGCTGGACGTTGGATGCCGACTCGGCGCCACTCAGGCACACTCCATCCTTGTTCGGTATGGCCTGGACCCTGCATTCGCGTCTTTTCGGAATAAGGGTCCAGTACCCTGACCGATGTCCAAGTCGGTCCCGTAGAGATGAAGGGTCTCGTGGCCTTTCGTGATAAGGCAGGAAACATCAAATTGACAAAGTATAACCGCCCCGAACGCTCCAAGTGCACTATGCCATCCACTCAATCGACTACCCACAGTGAGGTGCGTCCACTTGTGCCAACATGCCTCGAGTGAGGCCACATCCAACAACGTCCAGCCCGGCGAATAACAGTCGTGCAAGTGGCACTTGGCTGAGTCGGCTGCTGCCGTACTAGGACAAACACCTAGCATGATTGGTCCGCATGGACCACGGTATGTAAAGCAGACTTATCAAGGAGTGCAACTAATCCGGGGAAGATATGGGGCGCCGCGGCGCACCTGCACTGTCGATGGCCAAAGCGTTGGGAGGTCGGAGTCAGACAAAGACGCACATAAAGACCTCATCCCCCGGTTCGCTCTGTGTCAGCAAAGAATTGTATCCATCTTTGTTCGACCCATTCGTCTAGACGGACAAGTCAGAAGATCTTGAGGTGTTGTGGTGTTAATCATATCGTGAATATAAGAAGAAAAAGGTGGCACACATTTACGGTCACACACTTTGGCGATAATTCATATCGCCTTCAGCCTGGTGGGCATTGCGTGTTTTCGTTGGCATTCTATTCTTACTGAGGTGAGTTGTAGCCCTATAGTGCTTCTAAGTTGGCGCTTGTACTTGCCTTTGAACCCACGCACATCGACACGACAAGCGCCGAATCGATGCTTCAATTAATGACTGCTTAATTTTGCGGTTCATTCTGCGTCTTTATGCTATTTGAGAGCCTCATAGAGCCATCAGCTAACATATCACCAGTTCATGTCAAAGGCCTACGATATTCGAAAACACAGCGCACAATCTTGACGAGATCTGACAAACACGCCGAAACACAAATTCCACTCTGCCAATATGTGCTCCTACACCTACTCTTGGTACTACTGCAGCCACGGGTACTATATCTGGTAAGCTATTGATGTGATCTTCGAACTCTAATCCAGCAATGAATCAGCTAACACCACAACAGGGCTGATAGTCTCGAGGTCTGCGAGCACCGACTTCTCTCAGGCTACTCCTACGATGCATGGTCGATCGATCTCTGCAAGAACATCAAAGCCGCATGCCATGGCTTCTCCAATTACTACTGTTCGGAGTGCTCCGAAGACGTGACATTGGAGTTTGAGCTTGACGAGCTGTGAGGAGTTTGCATGTAAGCCTCAATTTCCGAGTCGATGTGCAGCTGTTAGCTGTTGACGATGCACGACGCTGACTATACATGCAGTGCCGTTCACAATCCTGCGATACTGTAGCCAATCGGCACGCCACCCACCTCCGGTTTCGCTTTACCTACCACGACTGCACTAAGAACCGGAGGTAACGCACACCGCTTTTCCTCACAACTTCACCGGCGTCTGCTTCGCGCAATTGCATTTACGGATGTTACTTTTGTTGCTTGATTCTTTGACTGCATCTAAGCGCGATACCATTTCTTTAGAGAGCACTTTTCTACGGTACATGATTACCGCAGATATACCAGCTTTGAGGCTGGACTGGCAGATAGCTCTGGGGCGTTCTTGGGATTTATGTCTTAATTTGGAATCTGAGTCGATACTATCTGAACACATTGACTTGATAAGCCCAAATTTACATGAATCGAAGTGACAAAATCCATGGCTGAATTTGACTACTCGGTAAGGCTCTCCTCGGCCTTCTTCGCGTCCAAACCAGAACTATCATCAAGGGTTCGCTTAACCTGCTCAGCACGCCTCCGTGCGTCGATGTAGTACATGAACTCCTGGTACGTGCGTGGCATGACACGGATCTTTTTAGGAACCGTGAAAGTGTAATTAAATTGCCCGGTCGGCTTCGAGAACCCATGCTCGACGTCTCGCACTTTGGAGTCTACCCGAATCTGAACTCGCGTATATTCGCTGCCCTCCGCGGCGCTCTCTCCGGGTGCATTGATGAGTGGCGGATCCGTGTACACGACTGTCGCTGTCAGATACAGTATGCTGCCTACCGGGACAGGGTTCTGGAAAGTTGAAGGATCGAGCGAGACGAATGTTGGGCGTGCATGCGCAAAAGCGGCTGCGGTTGTGAACGCGAGCTCGAACGTCTGCTTCAGTAGGAAGCCACCAAAAATCATGAAGTGGTGCCGATTGCGATATTGAGGCTGCATGATGGTTGCGGTTTGAAGACGCGTTGCGTCCATAAATACAACATCGTCGGGCTTTCGAAGGTCGTCATATGGATCTTGCCATATTAGTCACACGGTAGAAGCTAGCTTTCGGGAAATATTGGCCGTACCGTGATATTGAATCTGCTTCTGCCAAAACGCGTGGATAAGATCGCTCTCAAGATCGTTCGGAGTATGCTTGAGGAGAGATGTATCACGACGTTCCTTGCGAATCTTTGAGTTGCGTTCGCCCAACGCGTACAGCCGCTTCTCCTCGTTTGTCTCGACGATAAGAGGGTTGACGTTTACAGGCCTGCGAACTCGTTAGCGACCAATAAGTCTCCCCGATCGTAAGTTTACTTTTTGGTGCCAGGATCCAGTGACACCATTGTGAATGTGCAATTGATAAGCACATCCTCATCTTTGACCTGCTCTCCTTCTTGGGGTGCTTTTGCAACCTGCATCGTAATTTCCAAGCTGCTCCTCCCCGTAGCATACGTAACTCGCCCAGAAAGCTGTAAATCGCATATCTCTGTCAATGGAGAATTGATAGTGATGCGATCACAGCTTGCAGTCACCGTGGTCACATCGTCGCCGGTGTGTTTGTCTGTCTTTACTTAGACCTCTGCCCGTCTCGCAAAGCGAATGAGGCTTACACGCGATTATCCCAGACAGGGCGTCGAGATCCATGAAAATAGTGCCGAGACGTATGTGTCCCGAAGAATTCAGATACGTGTCCAAGAGCCATGGGTCTCGAGCCAATGGCAGCACGACAGAATGATAGCTATCATTCATATGTTTCGCCTGCATATTGCGATCCTTGGGTACTTCTGGCTTGCCGGAGGGCTCAACAGCTTGCTTGCCTTCTGCCTGCTGGTTTCTGAGAGCCTCGATCCAGGGTGTGCGCACTCGCATAGACGTGAGCTCCTTGAAAACACCATCTGTGCGTTGAGACGGGCTGCAATGGAAGGCGCGGCTTGAATGGCAAGACAATGCCAGCGACGGTGACCGAGGGCATCGAAGCTGCGAACTGTTCGGCGAGCGCTTAAGCACCGATCTCACTGATGGGCGCATGTTGCAGATTGAGTGAACTTGAAAGTCACATGGAATGCTCAGAAGGAACATGGAAGATTACCAGCGAGACGTCTCCGGCCACGCTAGCGTAGCGAAGCTAGGGTTTCCTTGGCGTGCTATGAGATCGTCACCTCGACAGACCTCTTCTTTCGCAAGCACAAACACTCAATCTGCGTCTAGCATGGTGTCAGACGCAATCCATTTGACAGCGTCTTCTGATGGGGAGGCGTCTCGAGATGGGGCGAGCAGTGCTTGCATCGTCCAAGCAGAATATCGAGCTTTGGCTCACAACGTTGATCACAATCTCATCAACGCAGCAGTGGATTAATCTCAAGCAGTACTCGTCACGCTACTTACTTACATTTCTTTCATCTGGTCAGGTTTGGATCGGCCGCAGTGGCCCCACACGCCTGGAGATCTGCCTCACATTACGAGGCGAGCCTTTTCCTCGTCTCGAACTCCAGGACCTATTACAAAGTATTACTCAAGCCCCAGTGAGTGAACCGCGGAGTTGCCATGCAATTCGAAATGATTCACTTACCGAGGTGTCAGATGTGGTCTCAATTGAAGCTGAAACCTACCTTTCACGGCGATGACATAGCAGTTGACGGCGTTGCGTACATTACCATTACGAGTGCAGACGAGTTTGAGCCGCCCGTGGCCCGAAACTGCCACCGCCTCTTAGACAATGTGACCTATACTGATCTGCAGCCCCCGGACAGCTTTCCTAAGATTCAGCTGCAAGTCGTGCGATTTTCTATGGACATACTCGACACCAAACAGCGTCCTCCATCGAAGCGATCGACTAGCTCTCGAGACCCTTCGCGTTCCGAACATGACAAGGGTGAGAACATTCAAGATAACGAAAGTGATATCTTGTTACACGAATCGGTTGCAAGCGACGATGATGTCGATACAGCGAATACAACGTATCGGTCCTTAGTCACTTCGCAAATAAACACTCGTAAGCGCAAGGAATCTGGGGAGCGAGGCCAAATGCAAAGAGCCTCATCGACGTCCGCCCCAGCCAGGAAATTACGACAAAGCAGACCTCCAGACGCCACCTTGGTCGCACCAC